AAACTTGTTTCCAGTTCCATCCGTTGATCTGTGAGTTATGTGATTTCATTTTTATTAAGAGCTGAATAATATTCCACTGTGTGAGTGTTTAAGTGCAGCACATTTTCATGATCCTTCCATCAGCGGATGGATATCTAGATGGTTTGTGGCTAACGTCAGATGTTGTAAAGTAGTAACTTTGATGGGGTTGCTTTTCAAGAGAACACTTGGACATTAACTTCGCCTTGCCACTCTAGTGCCAAGTATAAATGTCACCTCTTCTAGAAAGCCTTCCCTGAATGCACCTCTAGATAATGCCACTGTCAACTCTGATCTTAGGGTGGGTCATTTGCTTAAAATATTTTGTGAAGACAGGCCCACTTCTGATTCATTGCCTAGAGGAGAACAGTTTCAGAAGCATGGTAGACACCTCACAAAGGCTGAGTGAGAGAAGGGATAGGTGTGATGGCAGGCAAACATTTAGAAAGAAAGAAATAAGGACTCCATAAAAACACAGCACAGAGTCATGCCCCTATGAAAAGAGGTGAAATAAAAATTCAGGTCTGTGTGATTCAGTGCCTTGAAACATCCTTGAGCCTCTGAGTTTCTCCCGATTCTTTATCTTTCTCTGTCAGTAGAGACTGAATTGTTCCCCTAAGGGGACATGAGATACTCATCTTCACTGTCACCATGGTGACATTTGGAATCACCTGGAAACACACACACACACAACACACACACATCTGGGTGTGCTCTGAGGGCGTTTCCAAAGAGGTTTAACTGGGGAGGGAGAAACCTGAGTGTAGTTGGCACCAGCCAATTCTAAGATCGAATAAAAAGTGAAGTAGGAAAAGGGAGCTGGGTGCCAGCATTCCCAGCATCCATCAGTCTTTGCCTCAGTGTGGATGGCACGTGGCCATGGTCTCTCAGTCATGCCCCATCCTTCTCCACTGTCCTGGCCACTATCCCCTCTAACTCTAAGCCAAAACAAACCTCTCCTTCCTTAAGCTGCTTTGAGAGATTATTTTGCCATGACAACGAGGTGAGAGATTATTTTCCCATGACAACGAGGAAAGTGGGTAATATGTCATGTCCTGTGTCATAAAATATCGATCTGTTAGCGGGAAAGAGTTTGGATCTCTGGGAGTACACTTAGTGTGCACAAAGAATGTGCATTTAAGGAGTGTGCAAGGGCTTTGGCTCCTCATGCTCTGACACACTTAGCAATGCCTACCGTTTTCATTAACAATATGACACTTTATAATAACTATGACACACCAATTATCAAATTCCACTGCTTCATGAGATTTGGCTTGAAATATTAAATAAATATAAAACATGAAAACTCTGCTTTCTGTGACCGCCTGGGTCTCCTGAGTGAAGGGAGTGGATCCGGAGTTAACCGGCTCAGCGGGTTGCGTTCCACTACAGAGCCAGTAGGAGGATTCTGAGCAACAATGAAGCTATGCATCTTTCTTGTACCATCCAATGGGACTCCAGTGATTCTGATAAACAATCCAAGAAACTGTATATGACATTTATGGTTGGACTGGGTCCCACAGACATGTAACACCCCGAAGGCTCTAATGAGCAAATGGAAGACTTTAATTTTATTATCCAGATTTTTTTTTTTGAGCCTTGAGTAAAAGGGAGTGACATTCAGAAGTGTCTCCTAAATCATCGGAGAGAGATCCAATTATGTTTGCTGTCGTTTGCGGTATCTCTACTTAGAAGAATCTAATTTCCTATAAATTAGTTACCTGAGTATGATATACAAAAAAATCTCTCCCCCAATCAAACAAGTGATCGCTCTCCAGAAAGCTCAGTGACAGAGAAATTCAAGCCCCTGAGCTTAGGTTGAGCTCTGTGCATCTGGGTCCTGTTATATAACATGTAAGTATGAGAGTCCTAAAAAACCCATTCTCTACGTTTACAGTACAGCAAAGGTGACATCCAAGTAAGGAAGCCACCAGAGACCATTGCACACATAAAATTTGGGGGAAACGAATCGTTTCTCATCAGTGTTCATTCATTACATTTCAGTTCCCTAGGAAATATGTGAGTCCACTTCATCAGAACCCTGGGCCTTCGGTCACAATAGTGGAAAAGTGTTGCTTCCAATAGTCTCCATGTGTAGGCTAACTGAAGGCCCAGACGGGCCAAGGGATTTCATCAGATGTCCTTGATAAAACATCAAGAAAACCTTTACAGCTAAGTCAAGCTAATTGTAGGTTTGCTGTGCCAAGGGGAAAGGCCTCATGGGAACCTAGAGGAAGCAGAATGGGCAGAACTTAGCAAGGGCCAGCCGAGGACCAGGAACCCAAGGTTATAAATGGTCTATGCAGTTTCCTTGCTGCTGTGGGGCCATAGCCGAGTGCCTGCTTGTCTGTGTAACATTCCATCTTGACTTAGCCTCCTGTGGCTTCCTCCTTCATAGTGGTCCCTGATTGTACCTGACTTACTACGTGCCAGTGTTGGTAGGTCCCATAACATTATACATTCTTCTCTTTAAGTTGCTGAAAGGCACACACTGCTCTTGCAGAGGACCAGAGTTAGGTTCCCAGCACCTACAGACATCTGTAAGTCCAGCTGCAGGGCCTCCAACACCAGTCCTGTCCTCCTTGGGCCCTTGCATGTGTGGATGCCCCTCCATATACATATACTTAAGAAGAAACTGTTTGTAAGAAACTCCGAGAGTAGTTCTCTAACCTCCACCTGTGTGCTGTGGCATGTGTGTGTGTGTGTGTGTGTGTGTGTGTGTGTGCATTCAGACACACAAATGAAATAGTGTTTTTTTAAATAAAAATATATAACATCAGATAGAAGTAAAATCTATAAAGGGAAAATAAAGGATTTAAGAGAACCCAGTGTCATGGTGTGGATTTGCTGACCCCCCTGTTATTGGCCAAAGGTTACTGGCAATGGCAGCTGCTGACACCCCCACTTTTCTTCCCTTCCTTCTTTCCCCTTCCTCTCCCTTCTTCCTTCTCCTCCTCCCTCCCCATCCTCCCTCTCCTCCTTCTTCCCCTCCTTGCTCTCCTCATCCTCCATCTTTTCCTTTCTCTCCTCTTCTCTCTCTTCCTTCCTCTTCTTTCTCCTCCCCTCCTCCCTCTCCTTCCTCTCCTCTTATTCTCTTCCTCCATCCCTCCTTCTCTCCTCTCTCCTCCTCTCCTCCTCTCCTTCCCTCCTCTTTCTCTTCCTCCCTCTCCTTCCCCTCCTTCATGTCCTCCTCCACAGAGCTACCAGGTAGTGGCAGTAGAACAGACAGGAGATGCTTTAGAATCATCAACTTTCTATTATATAAAAACTTGGAAGAAGAACATTTCCTATAAACAGAAAGTGCAAAGGCCCCAGGCTAAAAAGAGCACCGAAGGCTTCCAGTTCAGCCAGGAAGTTGATGGGGCTTAATTAAGATGAGCATAGAACAGGTAGGGACAGAAAGAGGCAGGTGTTAGACCTTCATTCTGGATCGCATAAACCAGGGTGGTGGGGGCAGGGAATGGATTTTATTAGGACAGAGCAAGAGGGGCTGAACTGTATTTTAAAATATCCTCCTGTTTCTGTGGTCTGAGCCCACCATTCTTCCCCTCAATCCAACAAAAACAACCCATCCTTAGAATTCCAGTGCTCACCTCCCTCCTCTCTTCTCCCTTCCTACTTGGGGACCCATCTGCCATGATGTCCCACCCATGGCTGCATTCATTTGTAAGCAGATATCTATTCTCTTTGTTCTTCTGGAGATTCTTGGTCTGAATCATCTTGTAGCCCCAGCTAGCAGAATCAAAAGAAGGAGGAGGAGGAGGAGGAGGAGGAGGAGGAGGAGGAGGAGGAGGAGGAAGGAGGAGGGGAAGAAGGAGAAGGAAGAGGAGGAAAAAGGGGAGGAGGTGGAAGAGGAGGAGAAAGAAGGAAAAGGAGGGGAAGGGAAAGGGAGGGGAAGGGGATGAAGACTGACAGGGAGGACTGTCAGCTGCTGCTGCCATAAACCCTTATGTCCAACAAAAGAGGGAAAGCAAATCCATTCACCACAACCCTTGGCCATCAAACATGGTTCTGAGAAGAAGTTGCCATTGCTGGTATACCATCATGACAGCTTTTATGCTAGCAATAATGACACTGCTTGATAATCTTCAATACATCAGGTTTATGACATATTTATCCTGATGTATCTGCTGAGTATGAATGCCTGGACAGAGGACAATCTCAAATGTTGTCCTGAGGTGCCACTTAGCTCGTTCTAGGAGGCTTGGGACTCACCAATTAGGCTGGCTAGACTGGGTGATCAAGTGCACACGCCACCAGGCTCAGCTGTTTACCTGGGTGCTGAGGATTAAACTCAGGTCCTTCCTCATGCCGGTGCTGCACACACTTCTTGACTGGGTCACCTCCCCTTCTGACAGAGAGGGATTAGCACACTCTTGTCCCCAGCTCATAGATGTGGGAATCAAGGCTTGAACACCTTGCTAAGAATCTCCGAACCAGTGCCACAGTCAGCTGACGTTCTAGAATTATGCCATCGGCTTCCCAGCTTCACTGTAGCTGGGCTGTTGGCTGGAGGGGTGTTGGCTGGCTGTGAAATAATAGGGGTGCCCTCAAGCCTGTCTCTCTGAGTGTTAAAAGGGCATCCAGCTAAATGTTAAACATCATTATCTCTGGGTGGTTAATTATAGAAGATTTCTCCATGTGTTTATGCTTTCTGTAATTAGACTTAAACAAAACAATACAAGGTCTCTGTGTGGTTTTTCTTTTGTGCTCAGCCCCTTTCTCCTCCCCCGTGGCCTCAAGGCCAGGGCTGGGGCTCTGTGCGAGTATGAAGCTGGACGGCCTCCTCCCCTTAGCCTCTTGGCTCTGCAATTTCAGCACAATTCTCTCAAGCGCTTCAAATTTTGCTCTCGTTCTAGACGCTGAGCTGGTTGCTATTATTCACTCCCTAGGATAACTTATTGTTTCTTAGCCAGAGGCTTGAATAATGCCATTTGTAAAAGAGCCAGGACCCGAAATGTTTGCCTTGGTTAGTATGCACCATAATGTTTAGCAGTGGTCCCGGCTCCCCTGAGTCAGGGCCAGGAGTCTCTGGTGATAAGCAAATGGTCAGATTGCTTCACTGAAAGACTAGACTTGAGAAGTAAGTGTGAATGAGGGAGGTTCTGTCAGACTTGAGATCTGAACTCCTCCCATCTGCAATAGCCTGGTGGAGCATAAGGAATTTTTGTTTTAATTGATGTGAATGGAATCTACCCACGGACTTGCTCTCCAGGCTTGCATTTTTTTCCCACAAAGGCAGTAGTTACTAAGTGTCCAAAGGCAGTAGTTACTAACTATCCATTCTCCAGCATCATGCTAAGCAGCGGGGAATCTAGCAATGGGGAGAAAGCCCAGGTTCTGCCTGTGTGGACTTCACAGAGTGGAATCTATGGAGAAGCCAGATGGAGGCATGGATGTTGGATGCTGCGGAAGCCAGTGAGGAAGGAGCTGAGCCTACAGATTCTGCAAAAGCAGCTGCAGGATGTCGTGCTTCTGTAAGTGTAAAAGGTTGCCTAAAAAGCGAATTTGGCAAAGATCAAGGAAGGAAGCAACTCATGCTGGGGCTGAAAGGTGTACGTGTGTGTGTGGGGGGGACCTGAAAATATATGTAATGTGTGGGAGGGGTAGCCACAGAGGGCTACACACAGGTGCTGTTGCTCAGCAGAAAGCATGTCTAACACTCAGGCAGAAGTCTAAAAACCACAGTCAGCTTGGATCAGATTCTAAAAATAAGAAGATGCACAAGGATTTAACTGGGGAAAACAGAACTCTGTGTGTGTATGTGTGTGTGTGTGTGAGAGAGAGAGTCAGTGTATATGTCTGTGCATATGTGTGTATGCATGAGTGTGCATGTGGTATGTGAAAGAATATATGTGTGTATGTATATGTGAATGCATGAATATGCATGTGTGAGTTTGTGTGTGCATGTGTGTATGCATGCATCTTTAAAGCTGTAGACTTTTGTGTTGTTGGAGACGGGTTATCCCAGCATAGTCAGACTAGTCTCAAATCTGCCATCCTCTTGCTTCAGTCTCTCAAGTGCTGGGATAGCAATCCTGTGTCGCTATGCTTGATTTTTCCCCCCAAGGGAGAAGCCAAACAAAAACGTGATAAAAAGATAGAAATGCTCATTGTCTTGACTTGATCAGTATGCCCCGTAGACACCAGCTAGATATTACATGGAGTCGGATAGATGTACATAATGCTTACGTGTTGATCCAAACTTAAGAACAAAGGTTCATTTTGTAAGGGCTGTCACTAAACAGGCAGTCAGAGCAGAGAATGAGCCTGTATCCTTGAATGGAGGAGGCTCTTGTCCTAACACATTTTTCTTCAGTCCAGAAAGTGTTTGTACAGCACCCACAATGTCACAGACATGGCTCTGCATGTGGAAACCAAACAGAGCCATGGCAAAGCTCCAGGTATGTGGAACCACAGCCCACTGGGAAGTTACTGCAAGCAACACCAGAGTCATTACAAGAGGGGCATCAGAGGTAAAGGTGTGGGTTACAGAAATACAACAAGGTTGAAGAACGCTGCTCTTCCTGGCTGCTGGACCAGACCAAGAAGTATTCAGAATTTGGGCAGAGTGCTGACGGTTGAGAGGAAGTATGTCTGATCTGGGTTCTATCAACTCATACAAGGTCATCTCCTCCCCATGATTTTGGGTGGCCAGGTTGTACTGGGGGCTGGGGCAGGTGGGGTCTGAGAACAATCTCTCTGATTCACGAAGATTCATGACCTTGGATGTTTGACATTGGATATGCCCCACCCTTTTCATGTCCAGCTGTCCACAGTTAATATGCCCACACCCCATTCTCATAAAAAGCCTGACAGAAACGAAGATATTCCAACGAGACACTTGTGTCCCTCAATCTATCAGGCTAGTGACACAGCGGACCCCAAGACATGGGAATGTCTTCAAGATTTCAAGCCGGGAGGAGGAAAGACTTCAGTTAGGTGAGACCTTGGCTCCTGCAAAGAAACCTCACACTCTTCAAACACTTAACAGAACACCAGCACGAGGTGGACTTCCAAACAATGATGGGTCTGTCCTGGGCAGGACTTCGTCTTCATCAGCGTTGCGCAGATGTGCATAAGCCTGGTTCTCTCTTCAATCTCTCTTCAGTTCCCCAAAGATGGACTTACGGAGCTCACAGGACCTTTTCTTTGTTCCTCTTCCTAATGTGATCACATTGAATAAATCTCCTCTTCCTGCCTTTTACTACATTTTGCTGTTTTAATCAAGGAAGGGTGATTGACCTTGGCTCTTGGTCGGCATAGACCGTGACCCCAAGTCGAGTATCATTTTGGGTCATGCCCATGATTAATAACTGCTTTGAGAGGAGTGTGTGTGTGTGTGTGTGCACAGTGTGGGTTCAAATGTGCATGTACGTGTGTGCAGGAGTCTGTGGAGGTCAGAGATCGACAGACATTGGACATTTTCCTAGATGGCTCTCCATCTTACACACGCAGGCAGGGTCTCTCACTTGAATTCAGATACCACACCAATCTGGCTAGCCCAGCTAGCCAGCCCATTCTGAAGATTTCCATCTGGTCTCTTGAGTGTTGGATCTCTTGTGTGCTTGAGTGGCGGGCCACAGCATCCCCCCTCCCCCACCCCCGCATTTATATGGGAGCTGGGGTGGGGCGCAAACTCCAGTGGTGACACTTGAGCCACAGGTGTTTCATTCGCTGAACTATCCCCCAGCCTCGGCAGCTCCTTTAACTTCCCCTCTTTCTTGTTCTCTTCCATGTATGTGGTTAGTGACCTTTTAATTTTAAAACAGAGATGAGCTGATCACAGGCAGGGTGGAAACGGCCCCGATGCCCAAGCACGCCGCCGCAGTCTATTGCAGAGATGGAAATCTCCAGCGTCGATTAGGGAAGCTGCGTTAGGCTCTGCTCATTAATCAGCGCCTCCTGATAAAGTCTGCTGCAGCCAGAGTGGTGTGTTCTTCCTTTCTCTTTACAGATATAAAAGCCATATCGGTGTCTTTATCGATCGCTACTGCTACTATTATCAGAACATGTGCGCTCTCTCTCTCTCAAAGCCACTGCCCACACTTCCCCTTCACATGCTCTGTCTGTCCTGCAGCCTTGAAGTCAAAACAGAAAATCAAGTGAAAGTTTCATGTCTGAGGTTTGTGTTTCTCACAACTTGGAACTTGGAGAGAGAGGCTGTGTGACCTAGGGCAGATCACTTCACGTCTCTGAACCTCAGTCTTACTGACATATTATAGTTTGATCTGAATTGCTGCCCCACAGGCTTGCTTCCCCCCCTCCCCGCCCCCCAGGAGAGAAAGGTTGGGGAGCCTTCCAGAGGAGAGACTTGACTGGCGGAAGGTCTGTGAATGTTCTACCTGGTCCAAAGTTCCATTGCTTTCTGCATCCTAGTCCCTAATAGTACAAACAGCGTCCACCACACATTCTCACCACAGCAGCCACCATGATGGGCTGCAACCCTCTGAAACCATGAGCCACGGCGAATCTTCCGTCCCTTAAATTATTTCTATCGAGTATGGTGGTCACGTGGTCACACAAGGCCCATATTCCTCCCACAGCGGTCATCCTACTTCCGCGGGTGGTTGGGAGGGTTATAACAGCGAACCCGAACCCGATGCCTTTTGGATATGGTTCCCCAAAGTGACTAAGAGAGTCTTCCGGAACGTATGCAAATCATATGCAGGGATCAGATCTGGGCAATAAAAGATAGAACTCCTGTGGGATGCTGTTTAGAGGAACCTTTGGAAACGGGGCTCCCGCGGGTTGCTACTCAAAGGAGCCCTTAGGGGTGGTGCTTTCACAGGATGCAGTGCAGAGGAGCCCTTAGGACCCGCGTGGAAAGCCGCTACTCTGCCTTTCTTTTGGGCTATTTCCTTTTAGTGTCCAGCCTACATTTCCCAGAGTTCAGTTCTTCCTCAGCTTCAGCATCTCTGGTAAATATTTCCGAGTCCATACCACTGCCCTTCAGTCCCTGGGTTTCAAAGCCTCTTTCCTGTGACTGCCCCAAACAAGCTTCTCTGTCCTCCATCAAGTGACCTTTCCACAGATTGAACTTTATCCATTAACGATGGGAAAATGATAGCGACCCTTGTGCGGATGGCTGCCGGCGAAGCTCTGCCTGAGATGCTGTTGTCTGGCAGAATTTTCAGATTTTATTCAGCAAACAATAAGACCTGGACCTGTGGTTCAGGTCTCATTTATAGTGGCTGGGGGCTCATCTTCCATCTCTTCTAAGTAATTTCTTATGGGTTTGATTGAGAAAACTTTATGATTCCACAGTGAAGTTACTGCATACCTTTCTTCTTTCCCTCCCTCCCTTCCTACCTTCCTCCTTTTCTTTCTCCATTCATCAATTAAACAAGAGTTTATTTCATACCCATCCATGAGATAGGCACTCCATCCACTCAGCCCTCCCCGCTGTAGGAGCCCAATAAACATTGGTGGAATTACTGTCACGTTGGTAAATATCATCTCTGGCATTGAGAATATCTACTGTCTTGATAGGCAGTGGGCATATGAGTGTCATTGACCCAACCATTTCCTTTATCTGAGCCGATGGTACAGTAGCCAGCTCTGAGGCAAAGCCAGCAAGGGCATTAGAGTCCCATTATCTCCAACACACCAGCGTGAAACTAGATCACAGAGGTGCCAGCCCAGGAAGAACGAGATGCAGATTTTCACATTTGCAATAAAATTCCTGTCAATCACCCAAGTCCCAAGACTGAGCTAATATCTGAACTGTGAGACTATATTTTACCCAACTTTTCTGTCAATGGGAAATATCTGTGCCTGCCGTATGGCCAATGCATGCAACTCAAAGACAAGAAGATGGTCAACATGAGGTTGGAAACAGAAACCTGAGTTAACCCACCATACATGTGATAACTGATGTGTGTGTCTAGTACCAGACACCTAACTCCTCATCCCACACAGATTGTTTCTTAGCAAATGATGAGGTCAAATGATAGGATGATGTCACATCTGTGGTCATCACAACAGACACTTAGAATAAGTGGCTAACTGACCAAAAGTTGGATACCTTATTCTCTCTGATCAATTTACAGGAGACTCGTTGTCACTGTCCTTGTCTCATGGCCCAGGGAACTGAGGCACAGAGGCTCAATGACATACTCAGGGGAGTCTGAGGGCTGAGAGTGGGCTCTTCCCTCCTCTCAGGTACCTCAGGGCAGGTGATTACTACGTCACCAGCAAATTCAGAGTCTGGGTTGACAAGACCCAAGTTGATAACTGGTTGTTAATCTTGGGAATCTTAGTTTGAATAAATCACAGTCTCCTGAGTTCTGAGAGCCCAGCCATCAAGGATGTGAACAAGGTACAGAGCCTGTGATTGGGGCTGAGGAAACAAACATCAGGGTGTCGGAAGTACTCTTCCACAAAGAGTGGGTCGGAAGCCTGTCTTCTTAGAGGGCATGGATTCATGGCTTCTTTATATAAAGCAATTACGGAAGTATTCAGAGGTCCAACACGTGAATTCATTAGGATGAGGCTCTCACCTATTTCCAGTGTCTGCTGCTCCAGGTACCATCAGGAAGGTGTCAGACATCACTCTGTTGGCTTCTCAGAGCTTTGTTCTTGAGCTACTGTTCTACAGTGATTCCTGAGGTCTAGTTGAAAGGAAGAACCTGTCTCTCATCTCCAGCTTAGGTCTTGGGAAAATGGGATAAAACACAATCCACTCACGACAGGCTTCTTGGCCTGGGGTGGCTATAACTTCTCTGTTTCTTCCCCAGGAGGACTGAGGTGCCTTTAGTACAGGCTTATTGACAGTCATGGTATCTGTTACCATTTCAAGTCTTCAGTGTAGGTTTTTTTCCACGCTATAATAGAAATAATTTGTAGGCATGCACGTATTTGTATTATTTAAAAACAAGATTAATTTTTTTTTGTTTTTTTGAGACAGGGTTTCTCTGTGTAGCCCTGGCTGTCCTGGAACTCACTCTGTAGACCAGGCTGGCCTCGAACTCAGAAATCCACCTGCCTCTGCCTCCCAAGTGCTGGGATTAAAGGCGTGCACCACTACTGCCTGGCACAAGATGAATTTTTAATAGTGAAATTGAGTGTGCCAGTGCACGTCTATAATCCCTGCACTTGAGACACTGGTGGAGCAAGAAGACTGCCACCAGTTCAAAGCCAGTCTGGGTTATGTAGCACATGTCAGGCCAGCCAGACTTAAGTAATATGACCGTTTCTCAATAAATAATAATAATGATGATAATAATAATAATAATTAAGACTCGACTCAGAGTTTTGTTTGTCATTTATTATAACTCACAGAAATTGACTCATGAGTAAAAATGTCCCAAACATTCTGGAGCTGTGACTGCCAAGTGTTGCTTTGCGACTGTCTTCATCTTATACTTAGTGAAGAAAAGTGATGCTATACCCAGCTCTGCCTATAGAAGGCACCATCACATGGAAACTTCCAGGGAGTGACTCTAATATTTTGAGATGGGGCTCCCTGAGCTGAGACCTAAAGGATTATCTGAGGTAAAAAAGGGAGCTGAAACTCCCCATAGAGAGGGTCTGCTGCAGCCATCCAGAGGCAGAGAACTTCTAGTATTCATGGTGGGGGTGATGGCGGGGAGATGAGATGAAGGAAAGGGGTGTAGTGAATGAGATTACTGGAAGGATTTAAAGTGGACAGGACTTTGCAGTAGACCCGTAACGTTAAGACTTGCAGGATGCAGATTTCTGCTTTCAAGAATGAGTTGTGTTAAGAAAATGTTCAGTTATCCCTCCTAACGTGTTCACATTTCTGTTTTGCAATCCGTTGATGATAGCTGCTTTCATGGTCAAGAGAGGGACACCTCAGACCTGCCAGTCACCTCCTGACAGACGTGCTGACAAACACACTCTCGTCTGCAATCTAATGGCTTCTGTATCCGTCAGGACATTTCCTCCTAACTCTCCCTCAGTGTCTGCATTTAAAGTGCCTCAGTCCATCTGCAGTCCTCTTTGGCAGGTTCCAAAGCCTCCCCAAACACTCCCTTCTCCATCTGTCAGTGGAATATCAGCAACGCTTTCCCGAGGCACAGAATTTTCTTAGAAGGTCTGTGAACTGGAGTGGCTTTGTAGAGGGTAATAGGGGATCTAATTGAGGAACATGCATGACACTCAAAGGACATGTAGGGATCTTGCTCTCAAGCCAACAGTGATTCCTGTAAGCCCCGAAGACCAGCTGGATAATTTCCGGTGCCTGTC